AAAGATAATTATCTTCTCGGCAAAAAAACCGGCACACTCCATTTGAGCCCCCAGCCTCCCAACCTCCCAACCTCCCAACCTCCCAACCTCCCAGCCCCCTTGCTCAGCAAAGGACCCATCACTGACAAAAGTGCTGAACAGGAAGATTTACAGGCTGTGCCATGTGGCAGGTACCAGGGAGGCAGAAATCAGTATCTTCACCTTCAGAGAGAGTCTGAGTGTTGTGTATGACTGAGAAGCCAGTAACTGTAATATATTCAAGAAGACCTAAGGGTTTACTTTCCAGTAAGGATGGAAAAAATCTGAGCATGCCACTGTGAGCTTATCGTAATGCTGCTTCATATAAAAAGTTGGTAATTAGTCCCTGAGTGAATAAAGTAGAATAGATGATAAGAGATTGATACTTAGAGGAGAAACACAAAATGCTTTTGCCAGTCATCAAAATTTAAAGGCTATAGAAAAAAGGTTGGGGATGCCTCTGTCTGTTTACATGCGATTTCCAACTCTGAATTTGCAATGATAGAGTTCATTAACTTGTATTTTTAAATTGTATTAAGATGAAGCTTATAAATTTCAAAGGAGAACATAGAGGGCCAAATGCAGGAGACTTGAAGATCCAGCATAAGATACCGCAGAAGAACTGGTGGGAATTTTGGTCTCCTGTCAATCTCCCCTCTTCTACCATCCAAATATGGTACAGTGGTATTTATACAGGAACTGAACAGCACAGCTCAAAAACATATGATTTCTGAGGACTCCGGAATGTGTAATAATTTTCCAAATTCTATTTTCTCATGTAATTTAATACCAGTTCATTCATGAAGTTTTGGTGTTAAAGAGTCCTGTTATAGATGAATTTAGACTCCCAAGTATGCCAGCCCCCATTCATTACTTAATGTGGAATAGGACTTGATTTATGGGAAGAACACCCCAGAGAAAATGCTTAAGATTTTAAATGTATTTCATATATGAATTTTCACAAAAGGACATGAATACCATGGGGCGCCTGGGTGACTTAGTCAGTTAAGCATCTGACACTTGATTTTGGCTCAGGTCATGATCTCAGGGTTGTGAGATCACGCCCCTCATTGGGATCTGTGCTCAGCTCAGTCTGCTTGAGATTCTCTCCCTCCTTCTCCTTCTGCCCCTCCCCCCACTTTCTCCCAATAAATAAATAAATAAATAAATAAATAAATAAATGATAAAATCTTTTTTAAAAAAAGAATTCCATGAGTATTGTGGGAGCACACTTAAGTTTCTGGACTTTTCCCAAAAAGTAAATACAAATGAACTACATAAAAGAGAAAATTCTGAGTCTTCTGAGAGGTCGTGTCACCTGAGAGGTGGTGTCACTCATCTTCTCTGTTGCTTTTGGGTCCTTGTGAACCATCTCGACCATAGCAGGGAAATTATGGTCTGCCTCTCAGGCAGAGATGCAAGAAATTTAGGAGCTCAGCGACCCTATTCCAAATCCAAATGAGGATGTGGGCACATTTCCCTTAAAGCAAAACTGACCAGTGAAAATCCTCATTGGCAAAACATGTAAATTAAGACTTGATTATTCAGACCACAGGATTCACACAGGATTCTTTAGCCAGAAAACACTGTCACATTTTAAATATTTTATTTCGGGGAGAAATCTATTGTATAAATCAATTTTTGAAAGCCAGTTTCAAATTAGAAAAAGAAAGGAAATTGGCTTATACGATACTTAACAGTTGAATATAATAGGTAATGTCACAGTGATATCCGTCTTGGACAAATACATCAATAATATAAAGCAAACATTAATTGGAGAATTTTCTGGAGATGCTTTGACTAATACAGAGTCCTCACTCCAAGATGCTTACAGTCTACTAGGGAAACGGATGGTTACTAAAGCAATGCAAAACGCTGTGAGAGGAATTGCTAGCTGAAAGTAGAATCAACCAGCAGAGCAATGATCCAGGAACTACTTGGTCAGTAAATGAGAGTAATTCCATAAAAATCTTGTTCTTTCTTTTTTTTTTTTTTTTAACCTTACATAGCTTAAATATCAGGATCATTGATGCCAAATTATAAATTGTCTCTGTAGACATAGAAACAAAATAGACATTCAGTAAGTACCTTTGGGGCAATTAATAATAATAAGCACATAAACCAGGACTAATGATCTATTCTTTTTGTTTTATGTTTTTTAATAGATTTTTTTTTTCTTAACAGAGTGGCATAATTTATCACAGAAGGTAGAACCTAGGTCTCAAAAAATACATTTATCAAAAAAAAAGAAAGTTTCAAGAACTTTCTAAGACTTTTATTTATCTTACATTTTTTACTGTGCAAATTCTTACATCCTCCCTATTAATTCTATGACTCTTGTTAGATTTCCTTGCTTGTGAGAATATCTTTCATTGTAGCATAAAATAATACTCCATTTCAGTTGTTTTTCTATAATTGTGTTTAGATCACTATAACACTGAAAGTGGCTTGTTTTCTTTTTCAACTTCCTAGTCGTATGTAAAAGAGAAAGGTGAATTCTGTCTCCTCTCAGTTGGATGAAGGTAAAAAGAAAAAGCACTGAGAAATTTGCCAAAAATTGAACTATTTTTAAATGATATTCGCTCTCTGCCATGATCCTTTATGAAGGACCCACACACATCACCAAAGTGTGAGCCCTTGAAAGGAGAACATGCACCGCAGGGGACAAAGCTAACACGAGTGTAAATTCTTCTGTCCTGAACCCAGCTAGAGCATATCAATGATATTTCCAATTGTTGACATTTTATAATTTTGAACCAAATGTAACTAAACATATCAGTCTTTTTAAATAAGATCATTTTGGGGGTACCTGGATGGCTCAGTCGTTAAGCGTCTGCCTTCGGCTCAGGTCATGATCCCAGGGTCCTGGGATCGAGCCCTGCATCAGGCTCCCTGCTTGGTGGGAAGCCTGCTCTTCCCTCTCCCACTCCCCCTGCTTGTGTTCCCTCTCTCGCTGTGTCTCTCTCTGTCAAATAAATAAATAAAATCTTTAAAAAATAATAATAATTTAAGAACATTTTAAAAATATTTTAAATCAGATGGAAAATGCTTTATTAACTGTAAAGTAGGACATACATAAAATGTCAGGTGGGCAACAACTTGCCTACGAGTTTCAATGCCATAAGAAGACACAGCGCCTAATAGTGTAGCATTTGTCTGTTGGTACATCTCACTAATAAATAATCAATTTTTTTTATTCTCCCATCTCACTTTGAAATACATGTGGTATCTGGTGCTCACACTATGTACCTATTTCAGTACTTACTCCTCACTGTTTTTAATTTGGGGCAGAGACTTGGAGGATGAGGAGGGGAAAGCATGTTTAATGTGAAGTTATGGCTCAAAATACAAACACTAAAATCATCCCAGACACATTTAAACAACCTTTTTTTGTTTTGTTTTGTTTTTGTTTGTCTTTACTTTTTATTTGAGTAGACTTGACACACAGTGTTTCATTGGTTTCAGGTACACAACATAGTGATCGAACTTCTCTGTATGTTATGCTGGGCCCACCCCGAGCGTAGCTGCCAACTGTCGCAACACTAGTCCAGAATCACTGACCATATTTCCTACGCTGTGCCCTTTATTCCTGTGACTTAGTCATTCCATAACTCGCAGCCTGTATTTCACACAACCCTTCACCCATTCTGCCTGTCTCCCACCCCCCCCCCAAGGCAAGTAAGTAACCTTATTTTAAGAGGATTTAGAGATACCAAAATGGACATGCACATATGTACAGGCTAAGTTTAACAGCCAAGTTCAGTGCCAGAAGTATTGGGTATGAGTTACTCTGGTAACTAGTACTGAGTTTAGTACATTTAACCTTTTAATCATAGTATTATGTGGTTTTCTTCTGAATCATTCTTATTTATTTTTGTCCAATTAGAAAATAAAACAGGGCTGGAGGGGTGCTGCATCTGTTTACTTTCTTAGCGTGGATGTATGTAAACACACATATCTATATATTTTTTTCCAGAGACTTCTATTTACACATTATATAAAAGTTGTAGTTAACGTAAATAAACTCCAGAAGAGAAATTCCAACATCACCATTTTCCCCTGTTCATTGTCTGTGTATGTATTTGTATGTCAGTCTGTCTTTTTTTGACTCTCTATTTCTCCCTTTTTCAATATTTATAAGGACCTCTAGGGCAGATGCCTTAAAACAACTGGATGATCACCAGGAGTTAGGCTGCATGAATTGTCCATGTCCATCTTCTCTGTATGAGTGACCCAGGACCAGGAAAAAAAAGGGGGGGGGGGAAAGTAAAGTATCAGACTTTCAAACCACATTCAGGTTAAAGGGCACTGGCCATCCTGGAGTGTGTTCTGCCTAAAGGACAAGGCTTTCATTTGATAAAGATCATTAGTCACTGAGATATATATTTTAGAGAGTTCTCAGTAGCGAATATTCTGTTGCCAGTCACTGGAGTGTACCAGATGTTCATTAGCATAGGCTAGACAAGTCAAAGGCTTTCAGAATCATTTAGAAAATGTCAAACAGAAACAAGAACCCTGTCACTTTTTATTAGAATTAACTACATCATACCCGGGACACAGATTTCACCTTGGGTCAGAAAAATTAATACAGAATCATGTGAATTGTGTAATATACTGGGTTAAGATAGGTCTTTCTCTAGGGACTCATTTGCTGGCAATATATTATGATCCCTCTACTTTAGGAATCCTCAAACCTTTCCTTTTGTAAGATATGAAGAGTTGACCTTGCTCAAAATCCATTGGTGTCTAATTGATTTGAGGTATATGCAGAATTTCAACAAGACATTCTTCTAAAGCTCTTTTGTGATCCTTTTCCCAGGAAGCTTGGTGAGTGGGGCTTACTGAATATTCAGCAGCATATAAAGTATGCTTTATGTCAGTAGGAAATACATCCATTAATTGAACACACTGCTGTAGTAAACAGGAATTAAAATTCCATTAAAATATCATGGTTTGTTTTTGCTTTTGTTTTTTAAATCCAGATGTCAAAAACCTTGAGAACTTCCAGCTGGTAGAAGGTGTCCAGGAACAAGTCAATGCCGCCCTGCTGGACTATACTATGTGCAACTACCCACAGCAAACAGAGAAATTCGGGCAGCTACTTCTTCGACTACCTGAAATCCGGGCCATCAGCATGCAGGCTGAAGAATACCTCTACTATAAGCATCTGAATGGGGATGTGCCCTATAATAACCTCCTTATTGAAATGTTGCATGCAAAAAGAGCTTAGGTTCCAACCCCTAAAAGCTCTGCTTTCAAAACAAAAAGAGGTTGGTGGGGGAAAAAAGAAGAACAGGAAGAAAAGAAAAAAAAATACTCTGAACTGCTCCAAGCAACACTAATTAAAAACTTGGTTTAAAGATATTGAGTTTAAAAAGGCATAATAATCAAATACTTAATAGCAAATAAATGATGTATCAGGGTATTTGTATTGCAAACTGTGAATCAAAGGCTTCACATCCCCAAAGGATTCCATATAAAAGACATTGTAACGAAGTGGATTGAACTCACAGATGGATACCAACCCCATATCGGAATGAAAATGGACAGAACAATTCTTGTATATTTAAACTGATCTCCGCTGTGAAGAAATTTAGGAACTGATCTGTGTTATTAATTAGGCTTATACAGCAGGGGATTTGAGCTTACAGAATGCCTCCATGGTAAAGCTGAACTAAAACAACTCAAAAAATCCATCCGCTGCACCTGTAATAGCCCTTCCCTCTTCCTTTCAAGGACCCAGCACCTTCTGTCCTATGATCACGGAATCTGTCCTTACAGACTTGTGCTCAGCCACACCCACTAGTAGCTCCACCAAATCATGAAAAGCCTAATTTTGAATGTCTACGTCTTAGACCTGCAAACAGCTAATAAGAACAGTCTACAATATGTTAGCTTGCCATTTGAAATATGTTCTGGTTTGTTTTGTCATGTGTTCATGTTAAAAAAAAAAAAAAGCAGACAGTATCCCTCTTCTGATCTTATATAAGCATTAATTAATATTAAGGGAAAGGAGTACAAATTTAAAGCAAATGCTCCATAGCTAAAGCAAGCTAGACCTTATTTCTGCTATTGTTACTGAAATGTGGCTTTGGCGTTGTCATTTCATAAAAATTTCTTGCCAAAAGGCTTATTGGGGTACATTCGTCTTTTTGGACCATCCAAGTTTGTAGTTCATTTGAAAATAAAACCTGAAACATATTTTACTGGGATGTCAAATAGTCACAGTGCTAAGTAGTTTAAAATAAAACCGAAGGATGTTAAGCTATGCAAAAAAAGAAAGAAAAAGGTGAGCTAATAAATTGCCTCAAGTATCCGGCTTGTTGCAGTTGAACATCCCCTAAACATAGAACAGCAACAGTGATTCCTACATATGGACTGGAAAGATACTAAAGCAATTCCAATCTTCCCCAAAAGGGAAAGGAAGAGAGTGATACTAACCTTTCTGAGTCATAGACCAAAGTCTGCTCTAGAACAAATATTGAAGGACAAAGAATTGCAAAACAAACTCTCCAAACAATAGCAGTATTATTGACATGTAATGCCACAGGTATGGAAGTCTTGCCTTATTTCACAATTCTGAGAGGTAGCTGTGCAGATGTGGATCAACATTTGTCTAAAATAAAGTATTAATACTTTCAAGTCAAATAAAAGATAGTGTTTACATTCTTTAGGTCCTGTGGGGGGAGGGGGGAAACTGTGATATTACAAAATAGCTAAAGCAGTAATTTCCTTAATGTTATTTTTCTGATTGGTAATTATTTTTAACAGTACTTAATTATTGTATGTCGTGAGACACTAAAATCAACAATGGGAATCTCATTTAGACTTTGATTTTTTTGAGATTATCAGCGGCACAATCACTTGTAAAAACTGTAAAAACTAAAAGTATCTCCTAGTCCCTTAATTTTTTCATAAATGTTTCAGGCTTTTGAATAGTTTATTTATATTGTATATCATAGTTTCAACTGTAGACAATTATGATGCTAATTTATTGTTCCTTGGTTTCACCTTTGTATAAGATATAGCCAAGACTGAAGAAACCAAATATATGTGTTTACTGTAGCATGTCTTCAAGTTAGTGGAACATAGTTCAGGGACAGAGAAGGGTCTTAATGAATTAAAATCATTCACTTGATTAAATGTCTGTAAATCTTCGTAATTCTTACTGTAGTTTATTTAATATCTATTGTAAATTATGTGACTTATAGTTTCCTCTGTTTCCAAGTAAATTTAACGAGGGTAGAGTCTTCCCTGGTTTCCTTTACAAGCGTTGTAAGTTGTATACCAAAGATATTAGTTACTACTTCTGTGTGTACAAAAAGGATTATTTTATTATTTTTTTAATCACCTCTAATATTCGTCCACATGAAGGGTACACATTTGCTAAGCTGAGTGTCCACAGCTTCTCATGCAGTCTCAGTCACCTGTCATCGCAGCTCAAAGGACAATGAAAAACAGCTGATCAGAGTCAATGTCCCAAGCATTAAATAGACTGGCAGCATCCTTACCCTCCCCACTTAAAAACCAAGTTGGCTAGAAGACATGTGGGGAGGAATGGGTGTTGTTAACAGTTACTGAAGTGGTTGCATCCTGCATGTGGAACATGGGTGGCGGCAATTATGAGATTGGTGGGATAGTTAATTGGAGGGTCTTTAACACTGCAAAAAAAAAAAAAAAAAACAAACCCTAAATACCTTGATTCTGAAAGTCCATGTTTTCTTATTTTAAATAATACAGTAGTACTCTCCCCTGAAAATTAAACCTAAGAAATGTCAATTACTGGTATGTTGTTAACCTAGCAAATTCCATCCTAAGTATAGTTAGAAAGATGGGCAACACGGAGATTTACATCCACACTCCTGCTGACATCAAGAACAGAAGTTGATAAACAAGAATGCACCACAGCCAACATCTGTGGCCCATCCAAAGTTGGCAAATGAAATTTCTCTAGTGCTCATTGTTAACCAGTCTGTCACGAGACATTTCCTTAGCAACTGCCTTATCAATTACAGGATTTATTAGTAAAAGCAGACTCAAATATAAACATTTTTGGCTTAGCGTGGCTTATTATAGTTGGTCTATGTTTGTAAACAGACAATCTGTAATGTCTGAACATTTGTATTACAGATCTGCAGCTACCTTGGACCTGAATCCATGCAATGTTTAGAGTGTGAAGTCGGTTACTTGTTGGCGTTTTCTTACTGTATCAGTGAAATACATATTGTCATGTCAATTCTTGCCAGGAATTTCTCGACAAAATGGATTTTTTTTTCAGTATTTCAATAAATATTGATATGCCCAGCCTGATAATTTTTTAAAAGTTTTTATGCTGTCCTCATTCTGTTAGATACTAAAGCTTCTAAGTAATTAAGATACCTGACTAGGAATGGAATCAAAAGATTTCCACACAAATAGATAACTTTCCCCTCTCTAAGTATTATCTAGAGTAGTCTTATCCTTAGTTGGATCCTCGAAGCATTAAATTAACAAGTGCCTTGTTAATTCAAGTGATCTTCAGAACAGCTCCATTTGGTATTATTAGGTTCCTCTTAAAGTTTCTTGCTCAGAGTGAGAAACTAGCCGGTGAAGGAGCAGGGATTTGAACCCAGGCAGTTCGGCTCCCCACTGTCTCTAAACCAGGGCGACACCTAGGATTTGCTTCGAAAAGAAAAGGTATTAGATAAAATCAGGCATCAAATCACTGCTAAGGATACAAATATCAATAACTTAGAAGCCTAAAAGCCTTTTACGTTTTCTGGAGTTTAACCCTAAACAGTAACATGTCTATGTCCTCGAAATTAGCCTTTCTCGGTACCATTGAGCCTTTGGAGATGTTTAAAGCAAGGAAATACGTACAAAATCCGTTTTGGAAATGAATATTTACCTCTATTACAAAATAAGGCAAGAGCCACAAAACAGTATGCTTATGGAACATTGTGATGCGGGGAAAGCTATCTCCTTTCGCCCCCGCCCCTGCCTCCCGCAAAGAGGCAGGAGTTGTCATCTCTTTGCCAAGAAGGCACTGATTTTACTTTGGGTCCTTCAAAAAGATACCAAGGAATCAATTCAAAACGCCGCACTTAGGGTCTAGTAGATTACGGAACTAAGATTTTTAAGTAACTAAATAGTGGCCTACAAGACACATCTCCCTTGTCAACCTCTTAACGGGAAGAACTTTGTTAAAAAAAAAAAATTCTTGCTGACATTCCATGGAATACGAAAATACGTATTCATATTTAATTGAACTATAACTTAGAGAAAAGTATACAGCTAGATACATTCTTACATATGTATAACCCAGGTAATCATCACAGAAGTCCAGCAAGGTATAGAACATCAATTTTTAAATGTTTTTATAAGTGATTATACACACTTTTTAAAAATTTGGTGGAGAGGGAGATTCTCCAAAGCCCAACCCAGCATCCACAGAGGTCATTCTGATGAGAGCAGAAGCCTCACTCCATCACCTAGAATGACACAAAGTTGCTAAATCCATCGGCATGATAGAGCCCCTAAGAAAAAAGTGGCTCACGCTGATGTGCATTTGATTGTTCCATTTGATATTCACAATAACTTTGAAGAGGTTTGTACCTTTAACTAAGTTTGACATTCAGTTTGAAACGATCTCTGATGTATATTTTTATGAGAAACACGTGGAGAGTTTGCTCAACATAACACAGGTCAAAATGCTACGATACTTAGTGATCTTGACATTTCCCTGGAATAATAAAGACCAATTTTCGTTAACACTGAACAGGAAGTGTATAGTTTAGTCACTCAAAATAAATATTCTTGCAATACTTTAACTGCCTCACAGAGGCATTTGTTTCGTGTTAGTTTAGGAATTAATAATTTGGTGGCTGATACCAGGCAGTAGTTGTGGTCTGTTTGTAGAAAAACTTAAGAACCGATCTATGAAACATTGCATGTGTAATTGTTGCTAGAAAAGAGAAAAAAGAGGCAAAAACACGTGTAATTAGACTAATCACTGAGTGTCCCCAATATGAGTTTGACACTAAACAACCAAGAAACCACTAGACTGGAGCAAGCTGGACCCCCCACACTCCACTCGTGAGCTGAGGCCAGTGTCTTTCAGACCCCAGGCTGCCCAAGAGGTATTACGGATGCCAGGCCAGATTCCCTGGGACACTAGATCTGAAACTGTGCTCAGGACCACATCAGTCAGAAAGGGCCAAAAGGAGACAATATGTTGATACCTGATTTGCATCTCATTCTTGAACTCGATGGACCGCAGGCCACAACTCTCCTGTCTCACCTGATCAAACAGCAGCCCCCTGTCCTTGGCCACCGCTGTCGGCCCCACCTCTCAGGAAGAAGCGAGCCCAGTGAGCTCTGATGGGGCCAGAGCTTCCAGCACTTTAGCCACAAGAATTGAAGTCCCTCCAGATTCCCCCCAACCTTAGGCCCTGCTATTCCTCATGTACCCCTTTCCCTCCCCCATTACCTCGGTATCCAAATCCTGCCCGTTACTTTCCATAACTCTCTCAAATCTCTCCTCTCCTTCCCTGCAGCTTTAGGTCAGGCCCTTAGCATTTCTTGCCTAAAATTTTTCAATAACCTCTGGGCTGATCTGCCATCAATCTCAGCCCACTCCAAGCCTCACTCTCTACAGCTGCCAGCGCGTCTTCCTACCCCAGAGCTGACCATGTCACTCCTTCTATTCCAGTCCTGTGACGTTTAATATCTTCAGGAAAAAGTTCCAACCTGCCCCCCTAGACCTCACACCTCAGACCTTTTAGACAGCATCTGCCTGCCTTCCCAGACTCCACTCCCCAAAACATACCAACCACACTGAGCTACTTGCCACCCTGAACATATCCTGCTCTTTCCTGCCTCTGAACTTCTAGGCACGTTCCCCAGTGGCTCACCAAACCGAGACTAGACTTGGAGAAATCTTCCTAGCTGCCCGCATCCCATACAAGCCCCCCAACAAAGTCAAAAGATCCCATTTCTAGGCCCCTCAGCCTCTGATGTGAATCGTACTCTGGTCTCATTGTGTTTCTCTGCCTGAGTTGCCCCCGTGAGCATAGGGCACGGGCAGTGCCTGGAACCGCTCTAAGCCACTGGCCCAGGGCTGGTGACTAGAACAAGCACAGCAAATGATCTCCACAGAAGGATAAGGACAGTGCTCCCCAGTCTCCTTGACTTTGGACATTTTAGTGGGGCCAAGACTGAGATCATCTAGTGCTCACCCAGCATGCTCATCCACTCCAAACTCAGTATCACAAATGAATTTTGCGTTTCCTTCAGGGATGGCTCCCATGTGTGACGGCATCCCGACTCCCATCCTGAGCATGGGGTTAATCCAGAGAACTAGGCAGTGAGAATGGCATTACTTTATGGATACATGGCGCTCAGCATCTTGGCACACCATCTGAAGAAAGAGCTGCAGAAGGGAGAGGAAAGGTGCTTTGCGGCACCAGGGAGCAGAAACTGGTGGTAGTAAAATTGGTAGCTATCACGGAGAGAAAGAGTTCGGCACGATGTGAAGGAAAGAAATGTCTACAATCAAAGCTTTCCAAAAATGAAACCAACTTCCTAGAGGTTGGTGATTTCGCAGAAACTGTTCCACCTAAAGCTGGGGTTGACGACAGTGTTGGGGACATGATTCCTGCAGCGGATGGCCGGTCACCGTTAACGGCCCTCCAGAACGGACAGTCCAAGATTCCAGCATGACCATCCAAAGAGACGGGTCCAAACCTTCAGGAAGGATCTTCTTCCTCACTCCTTCCCTCCAGGAAAAAAATGTGCTTGTGTCTTTGAAGTCTGCTAGCATGATGAGATACTGACAGGCAAGATCCAGGCAACTCCAGAGACCTAAATGTCTAAGAGCTGAATTTACAAAGCTCATTTCGATGTTTATGTATGATGCAAGAGAGAAATCACAGCCTGCCAGACATGTTAGACCAGCTCATCCCTTACATCAGGCAGCAGTTAATGCTCTGAAAAAGAAAGTGTCTGCTTTTTGAAAAGTTCTAGCCACACATCCAAAACTGCTGGTTTGCCCTACAGACACCTCCACTGTGAGGGGCAAGATGCCCTTTGGCTCAATGAGGTAATCCTCACGCAGTTGCTGGTACTTGCCGTCCCTGCCCATCCTTACAGCTCTCCCTCCCATCTGACAAAAGAGAGCAAATTAAAGAGGTTACACTAGAAAAACCCAGGACGTCCATAAAAATATCTTAACTGAAGGAAAAAACAATTTGTTTATTTTTTATGTAAATTCAATTAATTAACATATGCTGTATTATTAGTTTCAGAGGTAGAGGTCAGTGATTCATCAGTCTTACATAACACCCAGTGCTCATTACATCATGTGCCCTCCTTAATGTCCATCACCCAGTTACCCCATCCTTCCACCCCCTCCCAACAATTTGTTTATTAATCCAGGATTTCTCACCTGAAAAATATTAGCTGAGCCTCTACTGTGTTCCAGGCAATGATCTAGTTAAGGAAATGCATTTAAAGAACACATACTGGGGGCGCCTGGGTGGCTCACTCGGTTAAGCGTCCGAATCTTGATTTTGGCTCAGGTCCTGATCTCAGGGTTGTGAGATTGAGCCCCGCCTCGGGGCTCCACACTCAGCAGGGAGTCTGCTTCTCTCCCTCTCTCTCTCTCTCTCTCTCTCTCTCTCGCCCTCTGCCCCTCCCCGCCCCCTCGCT